CCTCATATATAAATATATTTACATAACGTACATGCTTTTATTTAGACCTCTATGTATGCCCTTTGCCTCCTAGCTCTTTCCTCTATTTCCTTTGACTTTCCTCTTGTCCCACTATCATGCTCAGTCTTCATTTGGGTTTTAGTTACATTACCCTTGATCACGCCCTACAGGCCTCCTATACCCTCCTCACCACCGATTTGGATCACTTGTTCCCTTGTCCCTGGGTTCGTTAACATCACTACCTTTCCCCCCACCTCGCCCTCTCCCATGTCCCCCTGGAACTGTCGGTCCTGTTGTTTTCTCCTCTAGATTTCAAATTAAACATTTTTAACTCAGATCTGACGTCTGGAATTACATGAAGAAGTATTTTACAGAACTTCATGTTTAATTTGTAAATGTGCCTCTAAATAAGACGTATCTTGATGAGCAGCTCTACATCAGTGATGCTACTGATCAACATATTTTGTATTATATTGTTCTATTTTGGAAACAGAATTCTTCAGGTCTGCAACCCCTGGTATTCCACCTCACTCCCATCTTTTAAAAGAACCATCACCAGCAGAATTTTTGAGGACATTAGAGACATTTTTAAGGAAAACGTACCTGGGACCAAGGGAAGACTTGACTGATTCAAAGCCTAGCCAACGATTTCTAGCTTCAAAGTCCTTTTGTTGGAAGTGTTTTTCCTCTGGTCCTTGTCTTGACTGACAGGATGCAGAAGGAAGTTGTGTTCCCCATTCACCCCGCTGTTTCTGCCTCCGCCCTCTTCTACTTTCAGTGGTGCTTCATGCCCCGCCCCCAACCAAGATCAAACGGGAACTGCACAGCCCCTCCTCAGAGCTCTCTTCCTGCAGCCATGAGCAGGCCCTTGGTGCTAACTACGGAGAAAAGTGCCTCTACAACTATTGGTAAGTGGACTCCGCCGGCCTTGGAAGCCTCTGGAGGGTAACCATCATGCAAACCGTCACGGTAAGTACCCGGCCGGCAGACCAAAATCAAAACTCCTTACCATGGAGTCGATGGCCACAGGCACCTTATAGGACAGACTAGAACTGCCCCTGTGAGTTGCCAAGACTGTAGCTCTTTAAGGGAGTAGATTGCCTCATCGTACTGGTGGTGGCTTCAAACTGCTGACCTTGTGGTCATCAGCCCGATGCGTGATGACTGTGTCACCAGAGCTCCTCCTCCAGCAAACACTAGGTGGTTAAACATTTCTGTCTTTCTGTTGGAACAACTTAGCCCTCCAGGTATAGCTCCAGCCACTTGGAGTCCGGGTGCCGCCTGGAGCCCCAGACCTGGGAAAGCTTGGCAGCTCTGTGGGTCCTGAGCCCTCAGAAACCAGGGGCCTCAACTCTTTGGAGACTTGATCTGTAGCTTCCAGGGAGGGGGGTGTCTATTTCTGCGTGCCTGTCATATGTTAATGTGAACTTTAAGCACCAAAGAGGTAATCTGCAAATCAGAATATATGAGAAAGCCCTGATGTGCATGCCCTTTACTTAAGACTATCTAGGCCCCAGGAATGCAGCTTTAATTTCAAACTGGTCTTTTGCTCGGGAAGATAAACAGAAGGTGTCTCTCAAAGGGAGAGGGGAGAAGAGTTGTTCATTCACGGGATGTGATGGCAGAAGTGTACCCTTCCACAGATGCTGACTAATGCCTGGGGAGGGGCGGCAGGAGCCCTGGGAGATGGGGGGCAGAGTCCAGCCGCCTCCAGAACGGAGGTTCTCTCCTCACCCTCCCACCCCTGCGCAGTGCGCGCACACAGAGAATTCTTTTAGAAAGAGGGGGAAAAAGGAAACCGGAAGCAGAGGCTAAAATTATCTTAGGGAGAAAAAAATCACTAGAAGTGTTAAACAAGTCCCCGTGATGTGACGCAGTGGGTTTGTCACTTTTCGGAGGTACAAATATTCCCTCGGGCCGCTAGCGATTTAACTATGTTAATGCTGTCATTTCCTGGCAACAATGGGCTGCAAACTAGGTTGCTGGACCTGGTAACCATGCTAATGCTTTGATTGCTGCTTAATGGCTTCTTCTCTTTTTCTGTTTACAGTGCCTATGATCGGAAGCCTCCCTCTGGGTTCAAGCCATTAACCCCCCCCACCACACCCCTGTCACCCACTCACCAGAATTCCCTGCTTCCCCCACCTCAGGCAACTCTGCCCACCTCAACACATGCCCCTGCCACCGTCCCAGTACAAGGTGTGGGGCCTGCCCCCGCCCCTCATTCGCTTCAAGAACCCGGACCACAGCAGCAGACCTTTGCCGTCCCCCGACCACTGCATCAGTCCATGCAGATGCCAAAGATGTTGGCTGAAAACCAGTATCCCTCAGAACTGAGGTGGGTGCTGATCTGGACTTCCCGAATGGCCTCCTCCTCTCCCTTCTCTCATTGGAAGGGGTAAGGAGTGTAGTCATTTTTGTTTGGTTATTGTTCAGTGCTGCTGAATCGGCTCTGACTCATAGTAATCCTTTGTACAACAGAACAAAACACCACAATTGTTATGTTTGAGCCCATTGTTGCAGCCGCCCTGTCAAACTATCTTACTGAGGATCTGTCTCCTCTGGGCTGCCCCTCTGCTTTACCAAGCACGATACCCTACTCTAGGAATTGGCCCCTCCTAAAAACATGTCCAAAGGGTGTGAGGCAAGGTTCGCCATCCTTGCTTCTAGGGAGCATTCTGGCTACACTTCTTCCAAGACAGATTGTTCCTTCTGGCAGCCCGCCATACTTTGAATCTTCTCTATGAACATCATACTTCCAATGGATCGATTCCTCGCTGGTTTTCCCAATTCGCGGTTCTGTGTTCACATGCATGAGTCCATTGAACACACCAAGGCTTGAGTCTGCAAAGTGGCATCTTTGCCTTTTAACATCTTAACAATAATATTTACCAGACCCATTGCCTTAACGTTAAGCTCACCTCATAGCAATCCTATAGGACCGGGTAGAACTGACTTCTTGGGGATTCCAAGGTGGCAAGCCTTACTGAAGCACACTGCCACACCTTTCTCCAGTGGAATGGCTGGTGCATTCTGACTGCCAACCTTTTGGGTCAGCGGTCCATTGCTTATCTCATCTACCAGAGGCCTATAAAGTTCTCATTCCATTGAGGCTTCTTATGCGGTAAGGCTAATAATATGAATAATGTGGCCTCTTTATATACCACCCTGTTGCTGAGGTACTGTGAATGGTTTATGGACATTACAACATCCTTATGAAGCAGGTAAGGGAGAGGTAATTAGTTCTATCCTCCCACCATTAGCCCTTAAAGATCGACTTGCCCAGGAGACATCATCTCCTTGAGCTTTGGCAAGGGCAGGCTTCCCGGCCCTGACTGGATGCTGACTGCCTGCTAGAATTGGACCTTGGTTTTTGCTGCTCGTAATTACTTTATTACCATTTTACTTTTCTATTAGGGGAGAATGCCAAGTTAAAGCAAGTGTTATTGCTCATCTGATCGTAACACATTTTAACAGGAGAAGATTAGCTAAGGACCTTGCGTGTAATTATCTCCTTTTCGATAGCAATCTCCTGGTTACATTCCAGAGAGTTGTCGACATCCCTACTGTGAATGTCATGGCCTGGGAGTAACTGACTCAGTCACTCATTCACCCAAGTTGTAAAGGATTAGCCCTTCTCTGCAAACGTCGAACTTGACCTCCTACATCCCGGCTTTCCAGGTCTTCTTCCAAGTTTTCTGGGGGTCATTTTGGATGCTTATGGTCTTCCTTCATATAAGATGTTCTGGAGCCTGGTTTTGTTTTACTTTTAAATCTCTGGAATGAGTCAAGACCGTTGGCAGTAAGCTGTGATGTTCTGTCAGTGATGTTACCAAGGGGCTGTGGGCCGCAAGAGGATGACTTGTATTTGCTTGCTTGCTCTGCGCAGGGTGGGTGTAAGGAAGTGGGAGGATATGAATGTACCTTTCCGGGCTGGGTTCAACTTGAGTGCCCACCAGTATTTACTTGAAAATTGCTGTATTTCTAGATGAATTCCAAAAAAGAGTGAGCACCTTTCCCTGGTTCTGCACCCCTTCCTACTTCGCTGAGAGAGAAAAAGTCACCATAAAAAAAGGTCACTTGACCAGAGTTATTTCACAACAAAGACCATGAATACCATTGCTGGCTCACTCGTTGGGTTCCATCCTGATGTGGACATTTGTTTGGGTTTGTTTGTTTTTTTTGAGTGGGGGGTTGGGTACAAAGTTTGTTTTGTTTTCAGTTGGCAACTAATTCAAGTGATAAACAACAATACTCCGCAGACTAAACAAAAATCTCTGTGGGTGAGCTCATTCATTACGCCCGCCAGTTTTTGAACTCTGGTCTAGATGCCATTTTCATTTCAACGGTGTTTTTTTGGTTTGTTTTAATTCTTTAAACGGCGTTAATTCGAGAACAGGTGAGGGTATATAGCTAGTATTTGAAATACTTAGCAAACTTGGTGTTTCATAGCTCATGTGCAAAGGAAAGTCATTTCCCGTTCCAACCCTTCTGCTCGCATTTCTCCCACAATCCTTGTTTCTGATCCAGGGGGCTTGTGGAAACATATTATGTTGACAGTTGAGTGAGTCGGGAGAAAAATGCTGCACTTACTTATCCTCCCATAGCCTTGGCAGACGGCATTGCCTTGGTATACATAAGTGAAGCGGGTTTGTCTCCGGGCTTCCAGCCTCCCTGTGAGAGAATAAAGTTTGGATTTCTGAATATTCATGAGGAAATAGAACCAAAAATAATGGACGTCCCCCCACAGACTTTGTGAAGTCCCCTTGTCTGAATGGTCTGCTCTTAGGTGTCCAAAGATGGAGAAGCCAGAACCAGAAAGTAGATTTGGGGGTCCGGGGGTTTGCCTCTCCCTAAAGTTGCCTTTACACTCTGTATTTAAGAATGATGGGTCTAAAAATGATGACTTCCTAGAAACGGGAGCAATACTTGAGAGCCTGGAGGTGGAGGGGGACTTAATCTGTAGGCCCCTGAGTTGATCACATCACAACCACCGGGTCTCTCAGATCACTGTGTTTGAGTGTCTGGTCTCAAACTTAAGAGAGTATGAGTGAGCCGCCCCCCCACCCCCCTTGCAGGGACTTAGGAAAATACAGATTTCCACATTCTGTCCCAGAAATTTAGATGCTCGGTCTGGGGCAAAGCCTGGATATATTTTCTTCATGTTGAGAAGTCATAGCCAGTTATTTCTTCAACCCCTTCCCTATTCCAGCCTACTTCAAAACCAACTGCCTACCAAACAAAATATTTTTCAGGTTAGAAAGTAGTCTTTTTTTAAAAAATTATTTTATTGGGGGCTCGTACAATTCTCATCGCAATCCATACATACATCCATTGTGTCAAGCACATATGCACATTCGTTGCCCTCATCATTCTCAAAACATTCGCCTCCCACTCTAGCCCCTAACATCAGTTGTTCATTTTCTCCCTCCCTCCCCACTCCCCACTCCCCCATGAACCCTCCATAGATCATAAATTATTATAGTTTTGTCATAAGTTAACCCTGTCTGATGTTTCCCTCTGCCCTCCCCTCTGCTGTCCATCCCCCAGGGAGGAGCAATACTCAGATTCTTGTAGTTGCTTCCCCCTTTCTACCCCACATTCCCTTCACCCTCCAGGCATCGCCCCTCTCACCGCTGGTCCTGAAGGAGCCATCTATACTGGATTCCCTGTGTTTCCAGTTGCTATCTATACCAATGTACATTCTCCGGTCCAGCCAGATTTGTAAGGTAGAATTGGGATCATGATAGTGGAGGGGGGGGGGGGGTAGAGCATTAAAGAACTAGAGGAAAGTTCTATGTTTCATCATTGCTACCCTGTACACTGATTGGCTCATCTCCTCCCCACAACCCCTCAGTAAGGGTCACACATGCTCTTGTGCTTCTTCCATGTAGAAAGTAGTCTTATTTGAGGCTTTTAATAGTTGTTGACCAAAGCAGAGTAGAAAATTTCAACTTACAGATAAGAGAATCATGCCTCAAAGCAGCTAAGGGACTGCCTCAAAGTCATATAGCCAATACAGAAATCCTGCATTCAGAGACCAACAGCGAAACTTAGAACTGAACCATTTGTTGTGCAATTTGGGGGTTAGGGTGGGGGTGTGTGATTTACTAATGTCTGCTACACGCTAAATAAATGACTTTCAGAAATCTGTCTCAACTTTAGCACAGACCAAAACTTTCCCCACTATTAACCATGGTGGTGGTGGTGTGAGGTTAAGGTGACCAGATTTTAACATTGGTAAAGGGGGACACCATTGATAAAACTCATATCCTGGCGAAATAGCCACATGGCAGCCAGAAACCGTATACCCTAGCTTGTCATGCATTCTTTCCAAAAATCGGGACTTTTTAAAAACGCCGGGGGACACGGGAAAATTTGTTAAAAATCGGGACTGTCCCGGTCTGGTCACCTTATGTGAGGTACACTTAGGCTGCTAATGGCAAGGTCAGCAGTTCAAAACCACCAACTGCTCCGGGGGTGAAAGATGAGGCAGGCTTTCTAGGCCCATAAAGATTTAGAATCTTGGAAGCCCTCAGGGGCAGTTCTACTCTGTCCTTTGGGTCACTCTGAGTTAGAATCACCTCCACGGCCGTGTGTGTGTGTGTGTGTGTGTGTGTGTGTGTGTGTGTGTGTGTGTACAGTCTTACTGAATATATATATCACTGTCTACACTCATCGCATAGCACACGGCTCTTCTTTGCTGACAGGCGCCTTATCTCTTCTGTTGAATACAGTAAGTTTTTGAGGATTAAAAAACACCACCATCGAGGTCTCTTTCTTTAAACTACCTTTAGCAGATTATCAGTTCACATTTGTTGATAGTTTTCTAGCTTACACTTCAAGCAATGAAAATATCATCTAGTCAAAAGCATATTATTCCTATTTTATATGATCTTTAGGTAATTCTTCACAACTCCAAATTTATTTTTAGAAGATAAATGCTATGCTTGAAAGCAGTGGTTTATAGTGTAGATTGCTCTCCCCCAAGGAGGCGGGGCAGGGGCTGTGAAGCATGTAATTTGGCATGTTCAGCCGTGTTCCGTTGCCCCTGGAAGAGGAAGGCTTTTCATTCTGCCATCCAGATCCTGAGTGTGTGTACCTGTGCTGTTGGAAGTGTTTACAGGTGTTGGGTAGAGAAACCTAGGAGATAATTCCAGTCGTAGGCCCACCCTACTGGCTATATGTACTTTTGTCTTTCCTTATTACCATTTCTCAGTATATCTCAAATTAAGAGAGGTCCCACGGAGGGCCCCAAATTCAACCGAAGAAGCTCCCCAAAGTCATTTAGCATCTTAAGAATTTGGGGAGGTGCTGCTCTCTTAGTTGGCACGCATT